CAGAAATTTGGTTCTATGTTGGATATCCAGACTCAGTCCTATCGAAAGCTGAGAGGAGTCGAAGAGATCGAGCGTTGAAGAGTTCCAAGCTGAAGAAGTCTGATCTAGAATCTAGTGAATTATCAGGTAGATCTATTTCAGATTCGGACTTAAAGAAAAAATGGGTTGTTGCGTATGTTGAAGCGGAGGAGACTCTGTCAGTAGCTAAGTTTCTTGGTATTAAGTTTGCTGGTTCTGAAAGAAAGGTTCTTGAGGAGTTAGTGTCGCTAGAGTTGAGTTGACGATAGTGAGTGAGGTGTAGGGTCTGCTAGGTTTTTTGTATTTGTACTTTGAGGACTGTGTTATAGTTTTTTTTGGAGGTCCTGGAGTTGGTTTTTAGGGGTTCTGTGTGATTATATTTTGACGTGTAATGGGGGTTTAGGTCTTGGGAGAATTAAGTTTGTCTAAACTGTGAATTTCATTTATCATCCTCCATATAAGTGGCTCGTGCATTGCTTCAGAGGTTGGTAGTATGGCGCTCGTGGGTTTTCAGGAGGGATGGTGTGCCAATTTTAAAACAATTGTACGTGATGGGCGTTTTGTGATTGTTTGATGGGCGTTTAATTAAAGGATTTAAAAATATAATGGGCCTTTGGTTTTTTCTCCCCAGACATTGAGTTATGGTGGGCGTTTATATAAAGGATTTATAATATAATGGGGCTTTGGTTTTTGCTCCCCAGACATAGAGTTATGGTGGTTCTGCGTTTTTCTTGTCCAACTAATGGATGCTCCAATGTCTTGGAGGTGGTGAGAAGGGCGCACATGGGAGTGGGTGCGTGTGCTATAATGGTTTGTAATGTGGATGTTTGTGTTCATTTTGAGAGAAAGTTCGATCTTCGAGAATTTTCTATGGTTGTCTGCTCTGGAGATATTGGAATCTGACTTTTTGTTGTCTCTGTTAGCGCTGATGTAGTCGACGAAGCCTCTACGGCTGGAATTGATATGTGTTTTTAGTTGGTTGTAGTGTTTTCTTTGTTTGGTCGGTTGGACTGTTTTTTGGAATTGTCTCTATTCGCTTTTGTTGTCTCTGTAGGCTTGGCTTTCACTATTGGTATATTTGTTTGCATTGTTCTCTCATGTAGCACTCTTTTCCTCTAATTAGTTTAGGGAGGTTTTTAATGAGGTTCATAGGTTGTTCTTGTCTCTTGATTTTAATAAATCTTCATTCCTATAAAAAAATACTTCCACAAAACCTCTGATTTTCAAAATCATGGCAAAGTTGAGAAGGTGAAGAGTTTGGAGGATAAGTATGATGTTCCATACTTCCACAAAACCTTTTATTTTTAAAATCATGGTAAAGATGAGAAGGTGAAGTGTTTGGAAGACAAATATGATGTTCCATACTTCCACAAAACTTCTGATTTTCAAAATAATGGCAAAGATGAGAAGGTGAAGAGTTTGGAAGACAAGTATGCATCTGTCTACTTTCACAAAGCTTATGATTCTGCAAACCATGCCGAAAGCAATGAAGTGGAGAGTCTGGAAAACAAATATTCCACGGCCTACTTTCACAAGAAATCTTCCAAAACGATGAATGATCACAACATGGAACACCAGCACCATGGTCATGATGAAAGTGCCGAGCTTGGCTTGTTCACCCTTGATGAATTACGTGCCTTTAATGTAGGGAGAAAATTACCCATCTTTTTTCCTATCAAAATCAATCCCTTTACCCTCCTTTCTTACCTAAAGAAATTGTTGACACCATCCCTTTTTCATCTTCACAAGTTTCCAACATTCTACAATTCTTCTCAGTTTCTCCAGACTCCCCCAGAGGCAAAGCTGTTCAAGATACACTCGAAAAATGCGAGCTTGAAGCAGCTCAAGGAGAGACCAAAATATGTGCTACTTCTTTAGAATCTTTACATGGTTTTCTAAGCAATGCATTTGGACCCAAGGTTGATTTCAAGTTCATAAGCACAAGGCACCCCACAATAACAACCCCAATCTTCCAGAATTACGCAGTTTTGGAATCTCCTCGAGAGATTGAATCTGCAAAAAAAGTGGCATGTCATCCAATGCCATATCTTTATGCAATTTATTTCTGCCACTTTGATGCCACCGAGACCAAAGTTTTCAAACTGCAACTAGCTGGTGACATTACTGGAGATAAAGTTGAGGCTCTCGTTGTTTGCCATATAGACACTTCAGGTTGAAACTCCGATCATGTTGCTTTTCGCATGCTTGGTATTAAGCAAGGAGATGCTGTTTGCCATTTATTTTCTCAAGGTAATCTCGTTTGGATTAAGCAGCCATCAACCATCCGTGTTAGTGCCATGTAAGTATTAGGCTGTAACGATTGAGCTCTCATTGCCTTCTGCGAATAGGAACTCTCTCCGTTTCAGGTTGTTTCGATCATGGTATGCTTGTTTTGTCTTTCTACCTGTACTAGCTATCAAGTAATTAAGCAATAAAATTATGTTTTCGATTCTCAAGTAATTCCCAGCTGCAAGAAAGCATAGAGCGAGTGAAAGGTGAGCTGGTGCAATGAGCTTGTTTCGGAACCTTAGACAACCTGTACACACACCATCAATGATGGTACCGAGATTAGGACTTCCAAATTGTAGCAGTTAAAAACCTATAATAGAAGGTACTTTTAAACACAAATTCACCTAAAATGTTTTACCATCTTAATAAAGATAAGAAAGTCAAAATATAGACAGACTTGATGAGAAGTGCACAGAACCCCTAAAATTAGAAAAACCATTCCATATAAAGGTTCATTTTACAGTGTTGTACCAAGTTGTTTTGCAAAGAATTAAGCAATTGTTTGCGAGATTTTTTTTGTTGAAAGAGTAATAATGCAACAATGAAGGAGAAAGAGTTAGTTGGAAATTCATCTGTTGCCCTAAGTCTCAAGGGGGTTGGGCCTTAAAGACTTAGAGACATGAACATGTTTACCTGTGGCTAAAGGGTTTGCTTAATTGTACGAGTATGTGCTAAAGGGGTCAATCTTTTGGCAATCAACTGAGAAATATGAGGGCAATGAGATATGGATAAAATTACTAAAGTTGAGAGCTACTGCTGGCTATATCTATTGATTTTACTCTTACAGTTGCTAAAATCTAAGAAACTATTAGACAAAGGAAAGAGAAGACTTGGTGGCCTAAGCTATTACACACCATGCAAACACAGTAGTTCAAACAAAGAACCTCTTATAGAATAACACTCCCCTTGACTATTGAGGCAACTTGATGATTTCTGTTAATTGTTAATAGCTAAGGAAATTTCAAACAAATATTCTATGATAAACACTTGCTTAATTTGTCTTTGAATATTTTCAGCCCCAAAAAATACGTGCCGATCAGCAGGCAGCTATAATTTCAGTATAAAAATCCCATACTGAAATGGCCCACCCTTAGTCACAACCACATGGATGGATGCCATGCGGACAAACCCAGGTCACTCACCTGCAAAACTGCCGACAATTTAGCTTAAAGAACAAGTGTTTGGTTGTCTTTAATCTACCTTGAGCTTTGGGGTAAAAAAATCTTACGAATGAGACATCTTTTTCGTACGGTTTTAATTGTTTTCATCTTCTTTAGTATCATTACTTATCTTTCCACAAAGATGGTCAATGCCAATTAACAAACCAATTAATCCTCTCAACTTTTCTTTTTTAACTTTTGAAAAACATCATGGAACAATACTTCAATGATAAATTTTTTTTTTTTTGAGATCACGAATTTAAATAATTATATTTGTAGTACGTATGCGTAGTGAATTATAAAATTCTAATAATAGAGATTGAAATCGCAGAAGGATAATTATAGCAGTGCGTACGCTACATTAATTAGAAAGCTCCAGCAGCTTTCCTATCAGTGCAATGAGACAGATATGTGTAGAAAGCAAGTGGAGAAAGATTCCAAAAAGAAACAAAACTCTGAAACCCCAAATTAAATATGAAGAAAGGAACCTTTATCCATCCTTCATTAGTGTATTAAATAATCACACAGAGAAAGAGATCTGCAAACAATCAATTACCCCAAATTGCTTAACAATGATTTGTATATCTTTTCTAACTAGTAAATTATGCAACAAAATCTTTAGTGTCCTTTCAAAGAGTATGTCCCCTTTGATAGGGGTAGTTTAGAACAGTGTAGAGTATGTCCCCTTTGATAGGGGTAGTTTAGAACAGTGTAGAGTATGTCCCCTTTGATAGTGGTAGTTTAGAACAGTGTAATGTCCTATTTCTTTTTCCTTCAAAAGTCACCTTTAAATTTTCATTTTGTCATGGTTTTTTGTCCTTCCATACCGCTTACATTCATGGTGCTCAAATTCGAAACCTCAAAAAATAAAAATAATTCTTTTACCACCAAATTCATTTAATTTTTGCAGTTATCTAATTAGATTAATAGCTTAAATGTGACATTCATAATGTTCGAATTTGTAAAAAATACATTGTAGCTCAGTTGAATTACGAAGAAATAAAATCATGAAAAAAATTAATGTAAAAATATTTTTATGCCTTTTTCTCAATTTAATCCTTCACGTGTCATTCATTCTTTGGTTGAAAAGGTCACGTCAATTTTGTTAACCGCGTAAGACAAAGGGGCAAAAATGATGATAGAAATAAAACTTCAAGGGTCATTTTGATAAAAATAAACTTTAAGGGTTAAAACAGAAATTCAAATATAGTTCAAGGGCCAATTTACAATAACTAAAATCAGTAACTACATGTCTTTACCCAATTAACAGAGAAATTTTTCCACAAGATTACTCTATAAATTAAAAATTTTACTATTAAAGAAAAGAGAAAAAAATATTAACAGAGCACATGAGAAAAATAAATGTCTATACCCCCAGCACAACTACATGATTTAGTACCATAAATTATTACAACACATACCTAGATTATTACAAAGTAAAATCAACACAAATTAACACGAGAGAGATTCTCAACAATCAAATATATATCGTGGCTAGATCCATGGTAATCAACTATTCATCATCCACGAAGCTCACCTGGACTTCCCCCTACCAATATCAAAGCATAGAGTGGAAGTTGGCGATCCAATGGCTGCACCATTTTCATCATCCGTGTTCGAAAATCGACTCCTTTTCTGGTCTTTTCTCGGACTCATCGCAACAAACATTGATGAAGAAGAAGGTGAAGAAGGCACAAGGTTGCTGCTTTTCTTCAAACTGATCATCTTTGGGAACAATGCTTGCAAAAGACCAGATCTTGAGCGCTTGTTCTTGATGGGTTTTGTGGTGGACTTGGAGTAGAAAGATGGAGGAGGAGTTAGAGGAGGGATGGACGTATCGGAGAATGTGTATTTGGGAGTACCGAGCTGAGACTCCCACATGAAAGGGACAGCACCGGAGAGACCGCCATAGTAGACCCTGAAAGAAAGATTGGTAACAGAGTTTTCCTTTGATAAAAGCCTGGAAAAGAACTTGTTGTTTTGCTTAATTTCCAGGGTCTTGTTGTGGGGAAGATGATCAGGGCTTGTGTTCAACATCTTCGAATGTGTTTTGGGGGATTATTTGAAGGAAAAGAAATTCATAGCCTCAGAGGAAGAAGCTTTAGGCTTCAAGATCTCTGTATACTTTCTGGGGTTATATAGTACTAGAGCAGCGGACCATCACCAAAGATTTTAGTGACATTTACACTGGTATATGCATGTGATACAAATATATATATTAATTTCTAAAAAATTGTATATATTTAGAGAGATATAGTTATAATTTAAAATAAATATGAATAAAATTAATACGAGTCAGGACAATAACTCGCATATAATTTAAACAGAAGTTGAAACCAAAACCTTCCACATATTCATGTTGTTAGTTTGTTGGCTGTTGTGTTCTAGTTTTATTGTGTAATAATGACTCCGAACGATATTTTAATTGTTATATAATAATTATTATTCTAATAATGGATCCCTATCTAAAATCCTGGTTTTAACTTATTACCGGGGAAAGGCCCTTTGAGGATTTGTGTAAGGTATTAAATGGAGGGATGTGGATATGAAAAGGCAGCAAATGATGAGGTCATTGTCGCTTATGAAATGGCTTATGATTCATTAGCATTAGTATGAATAATCCATATGATATTTGAATTCAATGGTGGGACCTTTTGCTAAGTAAGAAGTCTGATTAGAGTGGGTCAGGGGGTTTACGTTAAGCTCGAATGATCAACCATCATGTGGCACTGCTGCAGTCATTCGCACCCTTATGTTTCTTGGTTGTCATCAACATCATGAGTTATTACCATCAGATCTTACTAACATAATATATTAACTTCAGTTTTGAAAGTTCGAAAAAAAAAATCCAAGTACTGCTGCGGCCATTTTGGTTGGCAAAAATCCCAAGTTGTGTCCTATTTGGTATTGATACTCAAGGTGAGTATCAATACCTAAGGGTTAAGTATCGATATTCTTTATTTGGTATCAATAATCCATGCTTCAAAGTTATATGTATGCATATACTGCTCTACCATGAGCTCTTAGTGAACAAGTGGATGAATTATATCTAGGTATAGCTTTGAGATGTTGGCTATGGTATGAACATATTACGAGTTGAATGTTTTAAATAATATTAAAGTATGGCTTTCATGATATATAATGCCTCGATTTTCATATCAATGTGTGTGAGTTGAAAGAGGTTTCAGATCCATGTAATTGTGTAATTAGAATCGATAGACTAAATTTGGACCTAATTGAGTGTTAATTGAGCTCAAATAACCTTAAAAAAGCGATTTTTGTATTGGGAGCTTAACAGGGACGACAAATTGAAAAAATTAACCCATTCTTTGAAACAAAGGCTGAATTTCATTCAACGGAGGCTTATATCATCGCAAGTAGAGGAAAAGGACTAAGCGCCTTTTATTTTTTTGCTTATCTTGTCTTCTTCCCATACTTTCTTCTTTCCTATTTACGTTAGAGCCCCCAAGTATCAAGCTTTATTGAGCTATGATTTCATCTTGGATTTGAAAGGGTAAGAGTGCTAATCTACACTTAAAGAAATTGGTTTTAAGCTCAAAATTTCCTTGAGATGTTGAAGTAGCTAGAGAAAGATTTTTTTGGGAGGGTTAGAGCCTTGAGCTATCTCAGCTCATTTTAGTTTGATTTTGGCACCCTTTATACGTCTTTAAACTCCTTTTTAGCTCTTAGATGTGTTAATAATCCATTTTGCACTTGTTTTATTAGTCAAGAGGTTGGAGAGCATTCAAGAGATAAGAAGAAGAAGCAACTCGGTGAAAGCTGAGCAATGAGCTTCATTTAAAGTTCCAAGCATAAAGGTAGTACACATTGAAATTTGAAGTGCTACTTGTGTTTCCTAAATGTGATATTTTCTTGGTTATTGAGCATATTGAGTGTTTTAAGTGTATATGCATGCTTTGGGTTCCATTTGTGTGTTAAGATGTGTTATAAAAGAGCTAAATGATCCTAAGTAACACCCATAAACTTTAGAAATGAAGTAGTTCTTAAACTAGAGTGTTTAAAAGGTTTTGAAGTGATTCTCAAACTTGAAAGTGACCATTTTTGGGCTTTAGAATTGGTAGTAGAGGAACAATGTCGAGGCCCCTTGAATAGGTAAAGAAATATGGGCAAAATGGACTAGAGTATTGTTATTATTCATGTCAGTATTGATAATGTTAGTGTGGTATCAATACAAAGGGTTGAGTATTGATATTGGGTATTCATTTGAACTTTGAGGCTAAAATCAGTGTCAACACTCATGGTAAGTATCAATACTCATGAGGGTATCAATACCTATAAGAATTGTGAAACCTCGAACTTAATTATAGTACTGATACTCAATGTTAGTATCGATATCCAACGGTTGAGTATCGATACCCTATGTCTGATATTGATAATCCATACTTCAAAGTCATAATTTGACTTCCAATTCAAATGTGTGACCAAAGTAAAGCTCATAACAAGTAAGTGGGTCTAAAAAAAAGGCCTAATTGTGCAATTTTAAATTAAGATACCCATAAGGATGTGAAATAATAAACATACCCATATAATCCAGGAATCATAGATGTGTAATGAATCGAAAGGTGTAAACTGCTACTAAGCATGATATGTGACAAGAGTCGCAATTTTCAAATAAATAAACCTAATTCTCAGTTTAAATAAATAAAATAAATAGTAAAGATAAATAGGATCGATTCATAGAGACTAAGGAATTTGCAATTAAATCTGATTTGATCTCTAATCAGAAAAGCTGCAAAATAAAATAAAAGGGGGTTTGTCGAATTTAATTGAATAAACTAAAATTAAATAAAATCAAAAAGCAATTAAAATAAATAATTGAAAGAGCTAATGATAGGAGAAGCCCCTTGCTTCGCTTTGACTCAACTCGTCTAAATCATAGATTTTACTTCGGGATTCTTACCAGATATAGTCTATAAGGCTCAACCTTTGTAACTTGCTCTTCTCTCATGTGAACTAATTTCCAAAGTCAATCCTTGGAATTTAATTCTTTTTTGGATTTAACTTCGACTATTGATAGGTGGTTTATTTAGTTATTATTTTGCCTTTAATTTTCTCCTTAGTTGTTGGTTTTTGTGGCTGATTTGTTTTTTTAATTCATTTTTTGTGCAGGACATTAGATTATGAAAATTGCACTAAAAGGGCAAAATTCTACAATTTTTTTATTATCGGAATAAAGGCTTGATTAGTGAGCATGACTCTGGGTATGACGCATCTGACGTGAAGTTGAGTCAGCAGCTTCCAGGAGGTCCAACCAGTGCTTCTAGAAAGACGAACGAATCAGACGCGTTTTTGAAATTTGAATTCAAGATTATCTCATGTTTTTAGGATTTTAGTTTGAATATTTTCAAGAATTATCTTTAGGAATTATCTCTTCTTTTTAGGAATTATCTTTTCATTATTTATAGAGATTTAGAAAGCTATAAATACCCCTCATGGTAAGCTTGAAAACACATTCAAATTTCATTCTTCTTCTTTGTTTTGGGTTTTATAAAAGTTTTTCTTTATTTTCAAAGTTTTTATTTTTATTTCTATTTTTAAAGATGCTAAGTATGATTGTCATACTTAGCTAATTTCTCCATAAGTCAAGGGCTAAAGCGATGACTCAATTCCAATTGTGATGATTGAAAAGCACCAAAAATACCTTCAGGTAATTTTCTCAATTTTCTGAACAAATAGGATTGGCAATCGACCTTTCCTTTAAAATCAAAATGCTTTTAAATTAAAAAGTCGACGTTGGTTTGCATGTTGTTTTGGTTTATAGTTGGGAGTAAAAATCGACTGGTAGCAAGTTTGACTTCCTGTTAACACACTTAGAGGTGGTTCGCTAAGGGAAATTGAGATCGAGCTCGATTCTCATTGAGACAACATAGTCTGAGTCGGTTTTTCCAGATCTTTAAAACTAAGTTGGTGCTAACGACGATAGTCGTAGTTAGTCCCCGTACGGACTGAAATTCAAAGATAGATTTTGTATTATCGATTTACAAGAGAAAGAAACAATTTACAAGGGTTAGGCCCTGTAAACGTTAACCTGCAGATATCCAAAGTAAAAATTATTCCGAGGATCAATTAGAATTGAGGCAAAAACTGAAACCTAAGGGTGATTTCACCATAAGTTTTCTTTACCTCAATTTATTTGCAATTTATTTATTTTATCCTTGTCTCTTATTTCAAACAACTTAAAATCCCTCATTTTAATTTCATCTTTATCCAAATCTCTATTTTTTTCTTATCTTTATCCAGATCTAAAATAAGAAAGTATACAACTATAAAAACTTCAAAGTCCCTATGGACCGACCCTGATTATCTTTACTACTCTTTCCCTTTATTATTTATTTTTAAGAAGAATGAATTATTTGACAGTAATACGACGTTTGTCAAATTGGCGTCGTTGCCGGAGACTTTGGCTAAATTAATTAATAAAGTTGTTTCTTTTTTATTTATGACCAGGAGTAATCTAGATGATTTGGTAGAATTTGATCTAGAAATTGAAGCACAAGCTAGGTGAATTCATGCAAAAATGCTTCGAGGAAAAAGAAGTAAACGACAACATGAACAACTGGAGCAATCAGATCCATAATTAAATTTGGAAAGATCATCTTCCTTTAATATAAATGAAGAACTGATAACCAAAGATACACTAGGCACAGACAACACGCTAGAACCAATGGCAGATCAAACAATTCGCTAGTTAGCTGCGGCACCTACCGTACAACAACCTTTCTGCATCACTTTTCCTCAAGGAAAAACTATGTTTACTCTTAAAACGGGCCTTATTCATCTTCTTCCTATATTCTATGAACTTTTCAGTGAGATTCCACACAAACATCTCACAGAGTTTCATATGGTCTGTTTGAGCATGAAACCTCAAGGAGTATATGAAGACCAAATAAAAGTACGAGTGATGAGTGTTCATAATCGGTAGTATTGCTCGTTAATTCTTTGATCTTATGGATTTATTACTGCTAGTTTGGTTGTGTTATGTTTGTTTTCGTGCAGGGTCTTACTTTTCAGACTGA